TTGCCAGGCCACAGAGGAAGACAATGTAACCAGTCTTGATGGGACCTAATAGGTTAGGGTCAGATGAAAAGGGAGGAGGACCTCCTCTATCAGTGGACTAGGGGAGGGGCATAGAGGGAGAAGAAGGAGGAAGAGTGGGATTTGAGGAAGATGAGGGAGGGGGCCACAGCCAGAATACAAATTGAATTAATTGTAATAAATGATAAAATTTTAAAAAAATTAAAATAGAGTGATGACTGCTACATCCTGGGCTTACTGGGCCATCCTAGTAGAAGCTTGTAAGAAAGTACTGAGAGTAATCTGGACTGAGCATCAGCAACATGGTTCTGGCTTGAGTCATAGAGGATACAAGAGCAGGGAGTTGTGGATTCTTCCTCTGTGGTTAGAGAAAGCCAGTGAAGCCAAGGGAGTGGCAGGGGAGTTTCTGCATGGAGGCCCAGAGAAACCACTACAAAAAGCTGTAAAAGTGAAACCTGGATCACACTGGAGATTCCAAAAAGTTTGAACTGCCAGAACCATGGGATGTCTGCCAGGGAAAGTTGCACACAGCAAGTGGACCAGCCAGAGAAGGAAGTATGTTACAGTCAGCAAAGCTGGAATGGTGGAGTCATCTAAGCCCTTTGACATTAGACACAGAGCTATAAGATTTGGAGTTTGACCTGCTGAGTTTCAGTCTTGCTCTGGTCCCATCTTTTCACTATACCCCTTTTCCTCCCTTTTGAAATCATAAACTATATTCTGTGCCACTGTATGTTTTTTTAATTTTATAGAGAATTATAATTAAGAGATTGTCTTAACTCTTAGAAGAGACTTTAACTTTACATTGTACTGATATTATAAAAGACTATGGGGACTTTTGAAGTTGAACTTGATGCATTTTACATTATGATATGGCCACAAGCCTTGTTCGGCAAGTAGAATATGGTGGTTTGAATCAGAATGGCCACAACAGGCTCATATATTTGAGTGCTAGGTCCCTTGGTGATAGAACTATTTGGGAATGATTAGGGATATAGCCTTGTTGAAAGAGGTTTGTCCTTGGAAGTGGACTTTGGGGTTTGAAAAGTCCAAACCATCCCCAGTTAGCTCTCTATGCCTGGTGTGGTTGAAGATGTAATCTCTCATCCACTGCTCCAGCCTCATAGTGCCAACTATGTTCCTTGGTATGATGGTTATGGACTCTAACACTATGCAACCAGCAGACACTCTCAAATTAACATGCTTTGGTCATGGTCTTTTGTCCCAATAATATGAAACTAAATAAGACATGAAAGAAGAAATGGTAGCAAATAAGCACATGGCTATATGAGTTATCCTGATTCCTTTGGGCTTTTCTAATGCTTTTCTAACATGTCTGTCATGTTAGATAACATAGCCAGTGTTCTACTGCTGTGAAGAGACACCATGCCCAGAGCAACTCTTAAAAAGGAAAACATTTAATATGGGCTAGGTTACAGTTTCAGAGGTTTAGTCCATTATCAGCATAACGGAAAGCCTGGCAGCATGCCAACAAACATAGTACTGGAGAGGTAGCTTGAGAGTTCTACATCTGGATCTGAAGACAGCAGAGACTATGTGGCTTGAGGATTTGAAACCCCAAAGCCCAAATCAGTGACAAACTTCTAGCCAGGCCACATCTACTCCATGAAGGCCACACCTCCTAATCCATTTTAAGTAACTAATAACCACTCCCCAATAACCAAGCTTATGAGCTTATGGAGGCTCATACCACCACAATGTCCTATTCAAATGAAATTTAATTAAAATACTACCCATTATATAAGAGAATAGCTACTATTAATATTCTAAAACTATTTTGAAATAAATTTGAAACAATAGCTGTGAAGCATCTTTTGGATATATGCCTAGGAGTGGTATAGCTGGATCTTGAGGAAGCACTATTTCTAGTTGTCTGAGAAAGTACCAGATTGATTTCCAAAGTGGTTGCACAAGTTTACATTCCCACCAGCAATGGAGGAGGGTTCCTCTTTCTCCACAACCTCTCCAGCATGTGTTGTCACTTGAGTTTTTGATCTTAGGCATTCTGATGGATGTAAGGTGAAATCTCAGGGTCGTTTTGATTTGCATCTCTCTGATGGCTAAGAACACTGAGCATCTCTTTAACTGTTTCTCTGCCATTCAATATTCCTCTACAAAGAATTCTCTGTTTAGCTCTGTACACCATTTTTTAGTTGGACTGCTTGATTTATTGCTTTTTAACTTCTTTAGTTCTTTATATATTCTGGATATCAGCCCTCTATAGCAGCAGCTTTATTCGTAATAGACAGAACCTGGAAACAACCCAGATGTCCATCAATGGAGGAATGGATACAGAAATTGTGGTACTTGTGGTACTTTTACACAACAGAATACTACTCAGCAATTAAAAACAAGGAAATAATGAAATTTGCAGTGGTGGGATCTAGAAAAGATCATCCTGAGTGCAGTATCCCAGAAGCAGAAAGACACACACAGTATATACTCACTTATATAGTGGACACTAGACCTATAAGATAGGATAAACATACTAAAATCTGTACACCTAAAGAAGATAAACAAGAAAGAGGACCCGGAGTAAGAGGATCAATCCTCACTTATAAAGACAAATGGGATTGACATTAGAAGTAGGAGAATACAAGTAACAGGATAGGAGCCTACCACAGAGAGCCTCTGAAAGACTCTACCTAGCAGTGTATCAAAGTAGATACTGACACACATAACCAAACCTTTGGCAGAGTGCAGGGAATCATATGATAGAAGGGGGAATTAGTATGACCTGGACGGAAAAAGTGCTCCACAAAGATCTAATATATCTGGGCACAGGGGTATAATATGAGACTTTTTCTCCAAGCAAGGACCATGTATGGATATAACCTAGAATTTCTGCTCGGATGTAGCCCGTGGTAGCTCAGTATCCAAGTGGGTTTCTCTAGTAAGGGGAACAGGGACTATTTCTGACATGAACTCAATGGCTGGCTCTTTACCTCCGCGGCTCCCGAGGGAGGAGCAGCCTTGCTAGGCCACAGAGGAGGACATTGCAGCCAGTCCTAAAATAACCTGATTAGCTACGGTCAGATGGAAGGGAAGGAGGCCCTTCCCTATCAGTGGACTTGGAAAGGGGCAGGGAGGAGATGAGGGAGGGAGGATGGGATTGGGAGGGAATGACAGAGTGGGCTACAGCTGGGACACAAAGTTAATAAACTGTAACTAATATTAAAAAAATAAAAATGTAATTAAAAAATAGTTGTGAAGCTATATCTTATGGAGAAATTTACCATATAAAATGTATCCAGTGCTATTAGAAGCTGCCAATAAATTTTTCTTTTTGCTTTGCAGCTAGAGACCAGAGAGTACTAATTGAATATTACTATTTTAATAAAATAACTGTACTTAAGCTTTCGCTCATAAAAATATAAGTATGTTGATTTTTCTTTTTAAAAAGAAATATCAATTCTTCAGAAATGTAGAAAACTTTGGAAATGAGAATAAATTTTTGAATTGATGAAAATAACAGCTTTACTATCACAATCAAAGCAAAACTTACAAGCACTTATAAACATAAACCCTCTAAAACATACACTGTATATTAGAGAATTTTCAAATATTTGCACAATTTTTAAAAAATTCTTCATTAATTACACTTTATTCACTTTGTATCCCCCCTGTGGTTTCGTCCCTCCTCCCGTTCCAATCCCTCCCTTCCTCCACCCTCTGCATGCATATCCCTCTCCAAGTCCACTGATAGGGGAGGTCTTCTTTTCCTTCCCTCTGATCCTAGTCAATTAGGTCTCATCAGGAGTGGCTGCATTTTCTTCTTCTGTGGCCTGGTAATGCTGCTTCCCCCTCAGGGGTGGTGATCAAAGAGCAGGCCAATCAGTTCATGTCAGAGACAGTCCCTGTTCCTATTACAATGGAACCCACTTGGATACTGAACTGCCATGGGCTACATCTGTGCAGGGGTCTTAGGTTATCTCCATGCATAGTCCTTGGTTGGACTATCAGTCTCAGGAAAGACCCCTGTGCTCATATAGACATATAATATAGGATAAACCTACTAAAATCTGTACACCTAAAGAAACTAATCAAGAGGGAGGACTCTTGCTAAAATGCTTAATTCCTATCCAGAAAGGCAAAGAGGATGGACATCAGAAGAAGGAGAAAAGAGGGAACAAGTCAGAAGCCTGACACAGAGGACCTCTGAAAGGTTCTGCCCTGCAGACTATCAGTGCAGATGCTGAGACTTATGGGCAACCTTTGGGCAGAGTACAGGGAATCTTATGAAAGAAGTGGGAAATAGTTAAGATCTGGAGAGAACAGGAACTCCACAAAGAGAGCAACAGAACCAAAGTATTTGCACAATTTTCTGTCCTCCTTAAGTCCACTTTATGGCCAAAGAAATGATTATAAAATGTAATAATGATATTGTACCTAATTTCATTAATAATATCAACACTATTAATACTATTAACAGTATTGACATTAAATTTGCAAAAAAAAAAGATAGATGTTATCTCAAATGCTAATTCAAGTCACAATAATGGCTAGGCATGGTAGCACAAGCCTCTAATCCAGAGTTCTCAATCTGTGGAATGAGACCCATTTGGGGGTCAAATAATCTTTTCACGGGGTCACAAATCAGAGAGATACCCTGCATACAGTTATTTATATTATTATTCATAACAGTAGGAAAACTACAGTTATGATGTAGCAATGGCTGGGGGCCACCACAACATGAAGAATTATATTAAAAAGTTGCAGCATAAGGAACTTTGAGAACTACTGCTCTAATGCCAGCACTCAAGAGAGAGAAACAGATGGATATCTGTGAGTTCATAGCCAGACTGGTCTTTAGAGTGAGCTCCAGGATACCAATACTATACAGTGAGAGTCTTTCTTAAAAAACAAAAACAATCAAGTCACAATAATGGCCAAAAGAGAAGCAGAAAGCAGCTACAATAACTACCATAAACAAAAATTACAACACACAGAACGTTTACTACCTTTATGCTGGTTTTCAAATTCCTCAGATAAGAGATGGTAGCAACAGCCCACACTGCAAACTCCCTTGACCTCAGACTTGGATGCAAATATCCGAAGAGTATTTGGTGCAAGGTCACCGCAAGTATGAAGACCCACCATTAAACAGTCCTTCAGGGACAAAGAGGAAAGAGACAATTAAAGGAGGAGTTAAACTATATAGGTGATGATTTTAGATGTCTTTTCAAATATGTAAAACTTTTAATTGGTTAACTCCATCTAAAAAGTGTTACTTATAATTTTATATTCAAAATAAATAATTGTTCCTTTTAGGCAAAATGGTTATAGTTTGCTACAGCTTCTGTGGTTTTTGTTTTGTTTTTTAATTTCTGCATTTGTATTTTACCTCATCTCTTTTACAACTAATATTTCCTAACAGCCAGATACTGTAAAGGATAAGGTTGAATCAAAAATGCAGCTGCTCTGATAAACCTGAGATTTGAGATATCATGTGATACAACTTTACTAAGCAAATACTGATTGAACTTCTTCAGGCTGCCCACCTTGTAAAACATGGTTACAAGAAATAGAAAGGATGCTAAGTTGTCATTTTGACAAAATGTTTAATTTACTCATTGATCAAATTAAAAAATAAAAATCAAGATTTTTGCTCTTGATTTTCTAACATGAATTTTACGTAAAATATGTATTAAGAATTTTTCCCAATTATTCAAATCTAATTTAAATATTCTCATATGTAATTAAGTACAAATGAATGCAACCATAGTTTTGTCAATGTACCAATTATCCCTAAGTTAAATTTATTAATGCTTTGTTTAACAGGAATCATAAAATTGAAATAAAAAGGAGCAAATGCGACCTTTCATGTAGAAAATGTGTCCATAAACTTTTGCCTCTTGGAGCGAAAGACTTTTAGGCAAGTTACACTATCTTTTCAGTTTCTAAGATGATACCCTTAAGCACAGATATTCCATGGGTCACATTATTAGTAGATTTATGATTTGAATATAGTCATAGAAATTTCTCAGTGTTTAAACAACATTAAACACACAGACACATACACATATACACACAAGCTGTCATAACCTCCAAATGTTATGTAAATAATTATTCACCCAACAGCTCAATTTTTATATACCAATTACAATTAATTTTAAAGGTATTAATAAAGAGGAACATGATGGCAATATAAGACTATAGTCTCAGAATTCAGGAGGCTGAGGTAAGAGTATTGCCATGAGTTTGAGGTTAGTCTGGGCTACATAATGATGTATAGGCTAGCCAGGCTTATACAGCAAAACTCTGCTTCAAAACAAACAACAACAAAATTATACTGATGACACTGTCTTTACGAGCTATCTATCAGAGAAGTGTTTAACTACCAATAAGTCTAATTATACAAATCATTAAGGGATTTTGCAAATTTATCTAACTTTTCAGTTTGTTATAAAATTATAATGTCTCCTTATGTAGTCCAGGCTGTCCTTGAATTCAGGGTCCTCCTGCTTCAGTTATGCTATCTATAGCTATGTGCCACCATGCTCAGGTTGCACACAGGTCTAGTAATATAATACTAACAAAATTAGTAAAATTTAAGTGATTATAATATACTAAAATTTTAACTCTAAAAAACTGTTAAGGATAATCTAATTATTGCTTTTAAGTGCATGAGGAGAGTAAGGTTTCATTTAGTTGGTACCGGGCGGCAGGGGCAGTAGGTAGAGTGAGTGTGGTGCGGGGAGGTGGGGTGGAGAGATAGTTCAGTGGTTAAGAGCATGTACTACTCTGGCAGAGAACCCAAGTTTAGTTCTCAGCATGCAGATTGGGTGCCTTATGTTCCTATAGTTCTACATCCATGGCATCTGCCCTCTTCAGACCTGTGTAGTTGCTGCACTCACAAGCACAAACTCACACAGGGACACAAACATATACACATAGTTTAAAAACAAGAATAAAACCTTTAAAAAACATAAGCGTGTTGGGGAACCTCTTTTTAAAAATCATGTAAAATAAAAATTTAAATGTCTAAAAATTTTTTGATATCTTTGTTTAGCCATTTCTTTTGGGAAGATTTTTTAAAAATTAACAAAGAATAATATTAACTTTAAAAGACACTTTGTCTTCTCAAGGAGTTAGGCTAAATAATCTCTAGAAGCTTCTGTATAATACTGTTATAACATATAATAGAGCATTTAGGATGCACTGTCTTTCAACTATAAAACTTGATAACTTAGAAGACATTAAATCCTTAAAGAATACTCATAGGCTAGTCTTGCTCTAGGAAATTCCATGTTTGTCAATACATTTTAGGTGAATTACCTCTTCATCTGGTGTCACTGTCCTGTTCATCTACAGTGTGTATAAAAACAGCATGATGCTTTCCATGAACATCTATAATTACTATAAGCATCAATTTAAAACAATAAAAATTATGAGAACACTGAAGATGTTTGTTCACTTAGAATTTTTTTCCTTAATGATTTATTTATTTATATTTTATTTTATGTGTTGGTATTTTGGCTGCATGTGTGTCTTTGGATTTCCTGGAACTAGAGTTGTGAGCTAGCAGCTGGGTGCTGGGAATTGAACTAGGGTCCTCCGGAAGAACAGCGACTGCTCTTAACTGCTGAGCCATCTCTCCTTGAATTAGAATTTTTACAATCTCTAAATTGTAGATAAGATAACTTGGCTTCTTGACTAGCATTTGTGCTAGCTCTCAATTTAGAAGTGAAATTAGTAGAGGGTTTGGTATTCTATAGTGTGCCTTACAAGTTTTGACAGTTGTGGATACAACCAAAGCCAGCTTAGGATTTTATTCTTGGTCTTTAGAAATAATGTGTCAAATACGATCACATGAGTTTAATAACAAGCTATTCAAATTTCATTCTATGTCAACAGCATTTTTGCAACCTAAAGAATTCAAAAGTACAATCACCTCCAGATCTTGAATAATGTCATGCAGTACTGAGTCAGCAGTGATAAAAGATGTTAGTGGTGAATATACACTTGAGTCACTTGGTTTGGATGTCACATTTCTTCTCTCTCTCCTAATTTCAGACACTTCTGTGTTGAACACCTGTGATGAAGTAGGTTCAATGGCACCAACAGGCAAAAATTCTATGAGAGAAAAACCATTTTCAAAACACAAATTCTCTTCTTCAAGTGGCTGAGCATGTAGATTTTCTTGCTGTTTTCTGATGATTGAAACTGTAGAACCTGAAAAATCTGGCAAGACATCAGTAGACAGCTCTTGATGCACAAGACTATTCTTCAGCACACTCTCGAAGTCTTCCTTACACTTTAATTCCTTTTGCACTTTCATTTCTTTTGGCACTTGTAATGCCAGTCTATTGGCATCTACTTTTGACTGAGAATGATGCAGCTTCCAATGTTTCTTCAACTTCCTGTTTCTCTCCTTAGCTCCATGAGTATTAGTATTTGAGGAATCAATGCCATAAACATTTAAACCATACTTTAAGGACAAAAAGGAGCTTAGGTAGCCTTTACCAGAACCCACGTCAATTATCTGAAGAAAACAACAACAACAAAAAAAGGAATTCAGGACTTTAGTCAGTTGGTAGTAGAAACATTTCAGATATTTTATTAAGTAAACAAATGTACTATATCATTTATATAATATTATTTGTTATTTGAAGTTGATTTCTATTAAATGATCCCTGATCATTTTTATCCAACGTTTTCCAGTTCCAGATAGAATAGTAAGTCAAAGGAACAACTAGGGAACAGACATAATAGTGAAAGTGAGGAAGAAAATATGTTTTTATCATACCTGGCATGACTGCCTCTCCAGAAAATTCCAAAGAATTTATTTACAAGTCAACAAAAATAACCATTGTATTATATTAAGCAATGTGCCAAAGCACAAAATAAATAGAAATTAACAATGATCCATCAGAACATATGCAACAGAGTAGCAATGAACATTTTGAAAGCAAAAGTTTTAAAACAAGACAACATAAAATACTTAGTAATAAGTTTAACTAAGGACAGAAGTCCCATACACTGAAAACTATAAAATGTCACATAAAACCCTGAAGACAGCTCATTTCATGAACTTACACTCTCAATACTAAGATGCCAATTCTTATATTTGACTTGACAAGGAGATCAACAAAACCCTAATCAAAACAGAGGGACTTTCTAAAGACACTGAAATTCATACATTACAATTTGTATGGGAGTAACCATCTAAGAATAACAAAAACAATTTCCAGAAAGAATAAAGTTATTACTAGTTCAACAGTTAACATAATGGGCTGCCAAGAAGGCTCAGTGGATACAGAGCTTGTCTTGCAAGCATGAGGACCCAAACTTGAATTCTTAGAACACACACAAAGTAAGTCAAAGTGGGACAGGCATGAGAGCCACCTGTACTCAAAGCACCAGGAAGCAGAGACAGGATATTCCAGCAATCTGACTTAGTAAGGTATGAATTCAACAAAAGAGTTCAATAAAGTGGAGCATGATCAATGTAGATATACCTGATGTCTGCTTTGAGCTGCCAAAGCACACATCCATATATGAATATGCCCACACACAGGAGGCACACCACACACAAATACACGGGCAAAAAGAATTAACATAAGACAGTGATCAAACAGTTTAATAGTGCCGAAAGACAAATCACAGGGGAAGTACTCTAAAAACACACCTATATTTAAATCATCAACAGGTTTTACACAGACTGCCCAGGATAAAATAATCATTTCAATAAGTGATACTGTGATACCTAGGTGACTAAATGGGGGGGGGGGGAATAAACTCTGCCTATCACACCGGAAACAAATATTAAAAGTGGATTACAGTTGTAAATGTAATAGTAAAAATAATATATTTTGGAAGAAAATAAGAAACAAACCTTTGTGATCTTGGAATATGCCCAAGGATTTTGTACACACACAAAAGCATGAACAACAAAATAAAGTTAAAATACATTTCATTAAAAAACTTTTACTATTCAAAATATACAATTTAAACTTAGAACAAAAGATATATTTTCAAATTTGTTTATTATTTGTGTGTGCATGTGTGTGTGTGTGTGTGTGAGAGAGAGAGAGAGAGAGAGAGATTCCTTGTATCTCCTTTCATCCAGGGATTGAACTCAGGTTGTCAGGCGAGAAGGAAAGTAGCTTTCTCTGCTGCATCATCTTGGTAGCCTCTACACATTTAAAATCCATAGCTGAATGGAGTAGGGAAGGGACTAACGAGCCTCTACCCCTACCTAAAGGGCTACTGACAGTTGAGGGTAGACAGGGGAGAATCATTTGTCTTTAAGGGTGTGACCCAAGCAGGCCAACCATACTCCAGTGCACAGCTCTATATCCATGAGCATATGGACAGCACTAACTGGAATTGGGTTATAAAGAAAAATAGGACATAAAGTTGGGAGGAGGAACAGGGGTGATTCAACTTACATATTTCAGCACACAACACTTCAATACAGTAGTAAAGAGTATACAGTATAACTCAGGAGGAAGGATGGAGACATGGTGACCAAAGATTGGACCACAGCAAGACTGAACCACAACGAGGAAAATATACAAGTTTACAGCTCCATCCCCAGTATCTGGGTGGCAGTAGCTCTGCCCTTTCCACTTTGCTGCCTGCAACATACATCCCTCTGTTAGACTGATTCCTGTATGCAGCCCTTCCTTGGCAGACTGCCCATGAGTCTCACATTCCATCTCAGGTTGTCCAGTAACCCAGGCTCACCTTCACAATGGCCTCTCTGAATTTTCTCACAGGGACTTTGACTCAGCCACATGTTGCTAGGTCTCAATGGCTCTCTGAACCATGGAGGAAGAAAACATGACCACCGAAATCTTGCATCTCTTATGTCTCCAAAACCAGTACCGTATGGACAACACTACCAAGTTCAAATGTCAGCTCAGAATGGAGCCTGCCCCATTTGGACCACAGTTTCAACAGCTTCTATATACTGAAGATGGTGGCGTTTGTAGGTGTTTGCCTTCCAGGAATAGGAAACCACTTTAACTCTTTCCTTTTACAAGTTTGGGCCTAAATTGTATAGAGTTTTGCACTCTAGGCACATGTGATGCCTAGAGTCAACTTGACTTAAGTGTCAATTAAGTCACACCTGGAATTAAAACCCCAAAATGGGGAGCCACCAATGTGGGAGATTTTTGCTTAATCTGAAATGAAAAGATACACTTCTAATCCAGATCTTTGAGGTAATAAGACAGATCTTTAATCCAGATCTTTGAGGTGGAAGACTCACCTCTAATCTGAAACAAGTCTTCTGCTTGAAACCTATATAAGAACATGGAAGAATGAAGCTTTTGCTTTTTACCTGCTTGTTCTCACCTCACTATTAAGTTCCTTCCTTTACCGGCATTAGAGCCTACTTCTTAGGGATTCCAGCATACACTGAAGACCAGCTGAGTAATCCACCCTTGGGTACTAAAAATACTACTGGATTCTTGGACCTTCCATTCACAAGCATTAGCTAGACAAGAGTCTATAAGTCATCCTAATAAATCCCCCCACTCTCTCTACCTTTCTCTTTACAGACACAAGCACACATATGCACACACATATGTAGAGAGAGCTTCATTCTATAAGTTCTGTTACTCTAGAGAAACCTGACTAATACAGTACCTTTCCAATTACTCTTGTTTGGAGGAGGAAGCCTCTCCATAATGGCTCCGTTTTCTTTAACAATTGCATCCTCTCTTTCATTGTAGGCTGGCATAAGAGTAATCAATAATTAACACTGCCAAAAACTCAGTTATGCTGTCTTGAATTTTTTTGTATCAAGAAAAATTAGTTTATTACTTTTAAATTCAGTCCTATACAAATTCTAATGCCCAGGAAGAATGCAGCCAGATTCTTGGCAAAAAAAATATCACATGGATGACCCCTAGCCTAATGCATGGTAGAATTCTTGATTCTATTAAAAAAAAAAAAAAAAAAAATTCATGACAAGTCTACTCTCTGCCCTTCTCTCAGCATTACTGCTTCCTGAGCTCCCACTAGAACAGTTTATTTTTTATTTTTTTCATTTTATTTTTTTCTTATCAGTTACATTTTATTAACTCTGTATCCCAGCCATGTCCCGATCCCTCATTCCCTCCCAGTCCCTCCCTCCCTCCCTCCCTCCTCTCCACCGTGCCCCTTTCCAAGTCCACTGATAGGGGGGACCTCCTCCCCATTCATCTGATCCTGTTTTATCAGGTATCTTCAGGACTGGCTGCAAAGCCCTCCTCTGTGGCCTAACAGGACTGTTCCACCCTTAGGGGGTGGGGAGGCCAAAGAGCCAGTCATTGAGTTCCTGTGAGAAATAGTCCTTGTTCCCCTCACTATGGGAAACCAATTGGTTACTGAGCTACCACAGGCTACATCTGAGCAGAGGTTCTAGGTTATATCCATACATGGTCCTTGGTTGAATGTCAGTCTCAGAAAAGACGCTGTGCCCAGATATATTTGGTCCTTGTGGAGCTCCTATCCTTTATTAAGCTCTGTTACAGTACTCACTGACTTTTCCATCCCAAAGTTTCAAAGTCTTCCATTAAACAGTCCAAAGGCATAAAAGCTACAGGGTCAGGATTACCACAGGAATGACCCCTGATTACATTCCTGATAATTCCTATATTAGATACTTTTCTGTTGTTGTGATAAAATATTATGACAAAAAGCAACTTTGGGAATGATGACTGTATTGTGGCTTATACTTCCAGAGGTTAGAAACTCCACCAAGACAGGAAGGTATGGCATGTCTCCTGGTAACCAAGAAGCAGACTGCTCACATTTCATTCACCCACAGAAAGCAGAGTTAGAAAAAGAAAAGGAAGTGAGGCCAGGCTACAAACTTCAAACCCATCCCCAGTGACATATTTCCTCCAGCAAGGCTCTACCTCCTAAAGATTCCATAACCTTCACAAAAAGCACCGCCAACTCAGGACCAAGATACATGGGCCCTATGGGTGGCATCTCAGATTCAAAACACAATACTGCTTTGCATAGTATTTTATATTAATACAGAATAAATATAAATGCATACAGTTATGAAAGACAATAATACAGTAAATAACCTTTACCTTATTCTAGTTTGGTGTAGCTCAGTGCAGATCTTCCAATGAAGATTTAAGTATGTTATGTGATCTATTTGGCAACTGACATAAACACTGAAAGGAAAGTTCAGAAGAGGAAGATGGGGTAGGGAACAACAGTCCAGTCAAAGGTAAAGTAGAAAACGAAATCTGAGTGATACCAAAAGTGGGTAGTACTTATAAGAAATACTCTTACCTGCTTTAGGCCACAGTAATCAGCAATACTAGAGATCAGCTCTGACATTGCCTGAACCTCATGAGATTTTTTTGTATTCATAAACTGAGCTGCCTTCACATTTTCACCTGAACGAAAATAATGAAAATTAAAACACAGCTATTAAAGAGAATTTTAATGAGTTGTCAATGATATTCACAGCTTTTTAAATTAAACATTAAAACAGAATAAATTCTACTGTTATTGGTATAATTTTATTATAAGTTATAATTCAGACTGAACTAAAAAATAAAAGATACAGATTATTAAAATCATTTCTTGATATAACAAATAGTTATTTGTTATATATAACAAATTTGTTATATATAACAAATAGTTATATAACTGTAAGTGGAAAAAGCACAAAAAGCCCCATTTCATCAAAAAGCAGCTTTAACTGAGCAAAAAGATATGCAAGCAACAAACTGGAAATAGACATTTCTAATACACACATACAAAATAAGACCAACTCTACACACCAATAAAAAACATTGTCCAATATAAGAACAGGCAAATTTTACTAACTGTACTATCCAACACGGTGTCTATTAACAAAGTGATTATTTACACTCACACTTAAAATTACCAAAGTCAAATGCAAATTAAAATTCTAAGCTATACTAGCCACACTGAGGTCTTCCCCAGCAGCATGTGGCTATTTGCTACTCTACAGTGTATAGCAACAGATATTATGAAACATTCTACACCACAGTACTTCAGACACAGAACAAGGTAGTCAACATCACTGGACATGTGGGACTTGGGTAGTGGCAAGCTGAAGTTTAGGGCTGGGTTAGAAATAAAATCTACAATGGCTTGACAGTGCCCACATGTGACATGTTGTTAGTCGGCTAACCTCTTCTTTATATTAATATAAAAAAAATTAATAATGTGATTCCAGGTATAAATGGTTGTTATACAATGGCATTCCACTGACAGATACCAGTCTAGAAAATAAACTGACATACTCCAGGATGAAGAATATATGGAATCCATGTACAATTGCCACTAGCTTGTATCTCTACACTGTGATGTCAACTATTACTGTTATAAGCCAACATCCATCTACATCTTGGTGATCATATATGCTATTCTTGCTTACTTTGAGACACAATACGTACTACTTAAATATTAGAAGGCAGAGGGAAGGCCAGGCAGACCATCGTTAATGAGAGGTTCACTCAGTTATGGCCAGTTAGAAACCTTTGGGACAAAGTACTTAGTGTTGCTGAAGAATTCAATTACAGCCAGAATGCCCTTAACCCAGCCATGATTTCCCAAAGTCTTTTGTAATTTTGTGCCATCGTGCGAAATTTGTGAGCACGCAAAAAAAAAAAAAAAAAAAAGTTGATTAAAATAGTAAGAGATAAAGGAAAAACAACAATAATGGTATGTTCCCTTTACAGTAAAGGGCTTCTGTGGATCTGCTTCTGCCAGCAAACACTAATCACCGGTAATAAGACAAAATTACATATGCCTCTCACTCAGGTGCACGAATAAGCAATCTTTCAATTAAACGCCTGTTTGTGAAACTGGACTTAATCATGAAGGGAAAACCAAACCTTCCTACACGTGTCAAATTATCAGTGTCAGGATAAACAAGAAGAAAAAAGATCAAGGAAAAAGTTTAGAGGGAAGAGATTTAAACATTACATCTAAATGTCATGCAGGAGCCTGGACTGATCCCTACACTATGAAAAAAGAAGGCTGTACAGATAACTCAGCAAGTAAATGTTGGTAATGTAGAGGACACCAGGTCTATTCCCTGACACCCACATGGCACATACTCATACACACAGACATGTATGTAAGCAAAACACTCATACACATAAAATAAAACAAATCCAAAAGGATAAAATTTTAAGTAAAAAGAAGCTGTAAGTAATTTCTGCAATAATAAATTTAAATACAATCTGCTTACAGCAAATAGGGAGGATTTTAACATGGCAAATATAGGTCAAAAGTATCTAGGAGTCAAGCAATGTTTCTCTAAGTTTATAGCTTTCTAAAAAATATTTAAAAGTTGGTGAGATAATGATGGTCAAATGAAATAAGAGACAAAAAAGAATAAGAAAGGTCATATATTCATTATTTCTTCATTGATATTATTTAACCCACTGTCTTTACTACAGCTAGTTCCTCAGCATAGAACATGATTAATTTTTAAAACCACAGCGTCCTGATCACTACTATTTAACTGCGTGTCTGCTGACATTTTGCATAACTGTGACTATGAGTTTCAATCTATTCTCCATTAGATTTTTAATTTGGGCCATCCCCTCTTCCTGACACTTACATTTCCCATTTCCCCAGCAACCACCCTCCACATTGCTCATATTCTTCCCGAAGAGCCGCCACAGAGAGACCATTACAGCATTAAAATAGAATGCAAAGATTCTGACATCTGCAGTAGCGCAACACAATATGGGTGTGACAGTCTGAAGCTCCCTGTGGTAAAGACACTCAGGGATAAGGAAAGGAAAAGCATAGAGCTCTACACCTGTTCTTAATATGGGATAAGACTATAGTGGATAGACAGACAGGAGCCATATACTGCTTTTAAGTACCTAAAAAGCATAAGAACACATATAAGCACACATACCAATTCTCTGTTTTTTATTTACTCGTAGGGCTGTAAGCAGTTCCTCAAAAGGAGTACACAGTCCCAAGTTTTGCACAGAATAGTGTTTTGCAGCCAGAGCAAAGGCTTCCACACTCAACAGCTTCTGAGAATTTTCACAAAATATTTTGGGGAGATCAATAAAACCTAAAAAGAAATCCGATAGAGAGGAAAGATTAGCAATAGTTAATATCTAAACTGTCTGATATTTTAAAACAGCAAATGAACAATTAGGACTTTACAGCAACTTATGGTATTTTAACTTTCAATCTTGGCACTATTTCTAACAGCTTCTTTTCATTTGTTACTTAAACTGTCAGCCAATACAAGAAAAATGCATTTCCTCCAATCGTGTCTTTTAAAATCAAATTAAAATCTGGTCTTTGCATTTTTCAGGAGCAATAGCAAAAGTTTTAACTAAAAAAAGAAACATTTAATTTATGAACTGTCTTCTCTGACCTAAAATTGTGCATTTTCAAGTGCCAGTCTTTGCAATGCTATTTTTCCTTCTTCCTGTTGAGCAGTATTGTAGTCTTATTCTTCTATGCCATTGCTAAGGTACGTCAAGTTGGTTTCTGAGTTTTTTTTTTTTTATTCCAATTTGTTCATAGCAATTCATAAAACCTTAATGAATAAAGCAGTCTAAGTAAGCCCATTCATAAAAAAGGCATATTTTTAAAAAGTACATCCAAGCGTAAACAAAATAAACGCAAGCTCACAAGACCAATAAATCCAGTTGTTATACAGGTTTGCTACGCATTAATTTTTAGGAAGCATACAATCTAGGGAACAAATCCAAATAAATGTTATAATGTATATGCTATGACATCTTGTCTACTAAAAATCCACTTAAAGGAAACTGTTGCTATCTCTACAAAGAATGTAACCAATACCTCAAATTCTAAATAAAACTATATGCTTCTGCATATATGCTTTTTTTTTAAACTAATATCTCTGAAGCTGGTGGTATAATGTGTCCTAAATTTACTATTATATAGAAAAGAGATGTGTGACTTCAACTTTTTAATCAATTCAATAGAAAATAAAAGCACAAGGTTACCATGGTGAATTTATTTAATATAGATTTGGGGACATTTTACAAGCTGAATTTACTAATGCAGCCAAAAGTAATAAAATCTACATAAAAATATTTAGGCATCATGAAGGGGGGAAACTCAGTTAAAATTAAGTGAGACTTTAGGTTCAAGAGCAGTCTCAAAATCGCCAGGTTCCAGGGGAGCAGTTTCTTAGAGTGTGACAGAATAAGAGCATTAAAACTCAGTGAGCAGAGGAGCCATTGTCAGTTAGAGGGCATGTTGCCAACAGAAAGAAACATGATGTTACTAATGGAGAAGTGAATGCTTGAATCACCCTAGCTATCCTACTGAAAATTCTTGAAAAAAATTCCAATCTGACCTGAACTAAATGGTATTAATTTGCTTTTAATTACAAGCATACAGAAATTTGGGGTATTGAATGCCTAAGTTAAAATGGTACCATGTTTTCAACAAGAGTGAATTTTTAAATGATTATATATTCTGATTCAATTTTGTAGTTTATGTTTTTAGAGTTAAAATCAGCTTATTCGGTCCAGAGTTCCACAATTCTTATTATTTTTTAATCACAGAAGTAGAGCTGAGGCTTTTTTCTTTTTTAGTGATTCAGTCTGTAATAGCCACAATTTGCTGCTTTTAGAGATTCATAGAAAACGAGAAGAAACACTGATCTTTACTTTCTTCCCTGACCCAGCATATGAGAAGGTTATAGGGCAATGCCAAAGTCTAGGTCCTCACCATGCCCCATGTCTTGGTGACTGGGTGTCTGTATAATCAGTTTGTGACTGGCAGCTGGTAGCAGAGATGCTGCAGTGCTGCTGAGCTTCAGTTCCTTCTTAGTTGGTTGCAAATATTCTTCCCCACAGGAGAACTGCATTTTTAAAATCTGCTGCCTGCTACGCCTGCATATTCTGTGGCTGGACTGTTTGGCATATAACTCCCTCTCTCCTAGAAGTTCCTGATCTTCCTTCTTGTCTGCTGCTTTTGTTTTATTTGTGCAGCCTACAGTGTTATCCCACCACGGTCTCATGTTAAGTGAGGCTACTAGACTCACTAGCTGGAGAGCAGTGAGCTGGCTCAGCAGATGAAGGTGCCCGCTGCACACCCGACAGCAAGAGTCCACCCTCAGGACCCATGTGGTGGAAGGCTAGAGCGGACTCCTGCAAGTTGTTCTCTGACTTCCACAGACTCACCAAGGTATGTCATGCAGGCATCCACACTAACAAATCATGCTTATATCAGACATACACATAACAATAAATAAAAATAGGATTTAAAAAATAGTAACACAGGGAATAAGATGGAAAAGAGGCAGGAGAGGATATTTTCAATAAACATAACACCAAGACACCTCTAACCTGCTTTTAATTTTTCTACCAGATACCAATGTAGACAGGAAAACACAAAAGCCAAACACACAGACTGTAAGAAAATTAGAAAGAAAAATGCAGTTTTAAAACTAGTAAGTATCAAACCTACTTACCTGTTATCACAGTTGAATGTCTTATAAGACTCTAAGGAAAATGAGCTCCGTCAGGTTTCACAATAACTCACTGCCCCATTGCTAGGAGGCACTAAATGCTCAATATCACATCCCAGGCATGACATTACATATTTTACCTGGCATGTGTGCGAGTTCATTGTTGTTCTCACCTCACTTGGAGGTCTAAGAATTGACAAGACTAAGTGATTCCAATGTGTGCACACTAAGTATCAGGGCAACTAAACCATGCAGTCTAACTTTACACTTTGGTCTTAATGCCTATGTTCCATTAGCACGGCACAGCAAACAAAATAATAGTGGGCATTAAAGGGCCTGACTATCAGAATCAGGTGTGGCAACTTGTCTGGCAGAGATAGATTGACAGTAGTATGTTAAGATATTACACACTTGCTTATTTTGTAAACACTTTCTTTACTCCTCCTAATGTCTCCTCTCCCTATCCTCTAAAAGTGATGTTGGTTCCAGAAATTAAAATGTAATTTGGATATATGAAATAATTAGTGTCTCTGAAAAGAAAGTAAAATGTTTGTATAAGATTTCCTGTGGTATCTACTAGAAACAAAGCATTACTACTGTTCCCTGTTCAGTTGTAAAGCAAAAGTACTCCTCTGCGGACAGCATGAATGAATGGATGATGGATGGATGGATGCATGCATGAACGACAGCATATTTCAATGCACTTACTATGGTAGCATCATCAACTACGAATTCTCCTAAGCCTCCGTAGTGGTTGTAATCACTGAGGCCACTACAAGGACTTCAATGCACCACTGAGCCTGTTAGGGAAGCATAAAACCTCATTTCAGCTGAATGCTTACAATCTTAGGGTGAGACAAGAGTGATTTAGAGCACACAGAATACGGTATAAGATGCAAATATATACTAAAGTTACAGAACATAACTTTGTTTTAGGGGTTGCAGAAACTGTTAATCACACAGCCAATGGACCAGAATTTCAAGAAGATACTGACAATAGTACCTTCCTGATAATTATTTTCACAAAGATATAAAAACATTTTGCATTTATTTCTACAAATATTCTTATTCCAGACACATCTTTTTCTTTTCCAACTTCCTGTGTTGATCAATAGCATTTTATTCACTATTAAAGTTAAACATCTTTATAGTCTCTTTCATGTACTGTGTGCCTTTAATTCATGTCCAGCGAACCATCTCTCCTCATGTAAAATTATATTTCATCTGGAAACCCTCCCATCCCTGCGATGGCTCAATCACCATTAATTCCAGCACTACCACAAACACATGATGGTAGTTTCCTTTCGGATAAAAAGCACAATGTTCCCCAAGTGTTGGATGAAAGGAGCATGTTTTTCTAAAAAGAAAATTTTTATCCCATGGGAAATTAATTAATTAATTAATTAATTAATTAATTAATTTATTTATTCACTCCCACCCCTTCCCCCACCCCAGACAGGGTTTCTCTGTGTAGGCTTCGCTGTCCTGGGCTCACTTTGTAGACCAGGTTGTCCTTGAACTCACAGAGATCCTCCTGCCTCTGCCTCCCTGAGTGCTGTGATTACAGGTGTGTGCCACCACACCCAACTTATCCCATGAAAATTTAATGGAACTTTTTAAGGCTTTGGCTTCTGCAATAGATGACTGTGCAGTTAATTGTTAATTAATAGCTAAATATTAAGTCTGTCTAGTAACCATTCAAAATTAAAAGATGGGTTGTGCTAAATTCCACGAACTTTGCATCTAATCATCACACTGCAATGTACCCAGGAAACAAATACAATAGATACTGTTACTTTTACATGATTACATGATCCAATTATGTGCTAGAATTTTTTTTTCCTACACAATTCTAGCTTAATATACAGTTGCATATAATATGAAAAAAAAATACAGGCAAACTATGCTCTTGCATGAAGTAATACATATTAAGAAGGACTGACATTCAGGTCCTTACCATACCAATATTAACACCACAATGAATATATAAATACAGTTAATCATTCCAAAAGCATTTTTACATGAAAGTACAATTCTTGTAAAATAAAATTAAATTTAAATCTGGAAAAATTAACCATATTTTAATTTAAACATTCCTTACATAGCTATATTTGTGTTGTTCACAAATATATTATACAATGATACAAATTTAGAAATGCATTTGGTACATTAAAAACAGATAAAAAGCAAAGTAATTCAAGGGTATATACTACTATTAAATAGTAGTTGTGGAAGACTGCATCACTTCCCACTAAAATAGCGTGAAGACCCTCAAAAACACAGTACAATAGAGATAAAGAACAGGGTTAGGGAGAAAGTTCAGTGGGTCAAATGCTTGCCAACTAATTATGAGGAACACAAATAGGATCCCAAAACTCATGTGAAAGACATGAATACAGTGCCCCTCATTTACTTTCCACTGTGGTAATAAAGACCATGACCAAAAGCAACTTGGGGAAGAAAGGTTTACTTGGCTTATATGTCCCAGTCCCAGTCCAACATGAAGGGAAACCAAGGCAGGAACTCTAGTATAGCAGGTTCCTGAAGGCAGAAACTGAAGCAGAGACCATAGAGGAATACAGCTCCCTAGCTTGCTCTCCATGGCTCCATCAGCCTGCTTTTTATCCAACCAACAATCTACTACCTGCCCAAGGGTAGCACTGCCCACAGTGGGCTGGGCTTTCCCATATCAATTACTGAATAAAGAAAAACATCCCGACAGACTTACCTACAAACCAGTCTGATGGGAGCACATCTCAATCTTCCCAAATAATTCTAGTTTGTATCAAGCTGACAGAACTAACCAGTATGCTCCCTATAATTCCAGCTTGTGGTAGGTAAGGAAAGGCAATCCTTGGAGGAGCTGGCTAGGCAGACAAGCTCCAGGTTCAACATGAGATCCTCTCTCACTATTTAATGTGGAGAACAGTCAAGAAAGACACTAGACATAAACCTGAGGTCTTAACAACACATGCAGATGCATCTTTCACAGAAGTGTACACACACACACACACACACACATACTATACACAAACATAAAAACAGATGCCAAAACTTTTTTGGTGAGGAACAGCTTGACTGTGGGGGCAAAGAACATGAATTTTATTCAATAAAATTTGAGAGATCAACTAGCAAGCAAAATAACAACTAAGATACACCTGTGTTTATGTTGTAAAAATAAAAATACCCCAAGGAGCTATTGGCAGTTGATTGTTGCTGGGAGAGCAGGACACATTTTCCTTGGTGGTTTAGCCAATGGCAAGCTGCCCAGGCTCTGGTAAGCTACTTTACATCCATACTTACCCAAGCAACCCTAACCAAACTCAGTATCTCTCTCTCTCTCTCTCTCTCACACACACACACACACACACACACACACACACACACACACACACACAAGACTCAGGAGAGGTAGAGCACAAAAAAGAAAAAGAATACACACGCATGTAGCAATAGTACATAAGGTAATGAAATGCCATCAAGTAGAGACAAAGTTAAACACACATGAAAGTCTTGCTCTGCCCTTCAAGGTCGTTTCCCTGTATTTTCTTTGTTTTGTTTTGTTTTGTTTTGTTTTTTGAAAGCTAACATTAGTCATTAATTCAACAAATACTTATGGAGCACTTAATACATGCCAGATATTTTCTCACATGTTGGAATCCACCCGTTTTTAAGGCAATTATGGTTCCTGTTTTTTACAAGTTCACATACCAAATTATCAAATCAGAATATTATGAGAGCAAACTGAAGGGGTGCCTAAGTTTCCAACAACCAAAAACGATTTGAAAGAAAACAAGATTCATTAAGTTCTATCATTAAAAACACTCTTATCCGCGCGGCACTTGGCATTTAGAGAATGCTTCAGGGATGAAGTCCGCTAACTCTGACAACCCTGGAAAGCCTGGAAGCAATGCAGAAGCAAAATCCGATGGCTGCTATTCCCAAACTTGGTAAATCCAAGTTTCTTGAGGGCATGTAACTCCAGAGACTAGAAAACTTCATGGCCCATAACTGTCACTGAAAATACACAGTTTTAAAACGGACTAGCGAGTATTCAAGACTTTCACTGTCACCATCCTTATCCAAGGTACAATCTTCCTTCCAGAAACAGGCTCCTATCTGGTCTCCCAGGCTCACCTCAACAATGTATTTGTCACCATACAATCTTTCCTGTGTTTTTTAAACTAAATCTCCGAAACATTAAGTGGATGCACGTCTCTTCCCTGTTTCTTGCCGACCTTAAATCGTGGAACTCCACCAGCACCCAAAGGGGACCCCGCCCACTGGGCGACCGGGATCCCTCTCTCCACTATCTCCCACGCACGGCCCACGTCAAGTCCCTGCCACCTCCTCCGAGTTCCACCAGGGGGCGCACCGACAGCCGCCCCGCGCGGACGCCATTCACCTGATCCCGACTCGGCTTCTCTCGGGGGAAGCGCCTCACGCGGCCCGGCCTCGGCCGCCGACTTCCTCAGCGCCGCCAGCACGCTCGCCGGGGGCAAGTCGACCAGCTCCTGCCAGAGCGATTCGGTGTAGAAGTCCACCGTGTGCGCGCTGGAAATGGGCAGGGCGCCCCGCAGGAAGCGCAGCAAGCCCCGTAACTTAGCGTGCAGCGTGGGCAGGTCCGGGGTCCCGGGGAGAGGGCCGGCCGCCGCCATGACGCTCGCCCTCCGGGGCTGCAGGTGGCGCCAACATGGCCGCGCGACGCCTCTCTCTTCCGGGAAGCTGCACGGGCCGAAGCAGTCGAACTCCGAGCATGCGCTCACTGGGCGGTGGATTGCTCCAGGCTGGTGACGTATTACGTCGGCGTCCACTGTGGTTCTGCCATCCCAGCCGGCGCAAGATGGCGCCGGGGAGGCCGACATCGAGGTGGAGCGCCGGAGGATTGGCGGCGCCTGGGGAAGGGACGCCTCAGGTCGGATTGGGGAAGCAGAATGGGAAACGCAGGACCTGGCGCCCTAACCACCATCAGGCCTTCCTGGGGAGCGTGCGCGAGGGTATGTAAGGAGACAGGCGTGGAGGAGTCCTGAGGCCCGCGGCGTCCGAGGGGGCAGGATGGGTCCCAGCTTGGAAAAACGCTCGTAGACTCGATCCGGCTGGCGTTCGGGGAAAGCATTCCTAAGCCCGCCGAACCTGTGGGCTTCTCCGTCCTTTGCATGGGAAAACGGGACGGTGCTGTGAACTTAAAGTCGGTTAACGTAGCTCTTTTCTCTAACAGGAAGCAGGGAGTGTCTAGGGGTCCGTATGTCTTATGAGTCAGAGACGTATTTGTGTTTGTATTACAGGAAAACAAAGAGAAAAGATGGAGTTAAAAACACACTGGCGCAAAGCCCTGATTAAAAAACAAAACAAACAACAAAAACCCCACCGAAATAGCCCTCCCGATTCATAATTTTATCTTCCTTAGGTTTGTTGTATTGTCTTAGTAAGACCTGTCATCGCAAGTATTTTGTTCGAGCTAATAATAACTGTTAAACTGTTAAATAGGTGTTCAAAAAATTGTACAGGATCCCCATTTTGTTGTTTGGTGTTTTATTTTGGAAAAATAAATGATTAGTAAATTTCTCCAACAGAAAAGTAATAGATTTGCCCACCTATTTTTATGTATTTACTGAAGACCTGGGTGATGTTTCATATGACGTAGAGAAATTTTAATTTGTGAATACGATTATAAATTCAAGCTGAAAAGTCAAGTTTAGTTTACTGTTTAGTTGTACTTTGAAGTTTTTATGTGGTGTCTGACAAATGTTAGCCTTATATTCATGTAAAGGGCCAACTTGCTACTCAGTGCATCATTAAATGTGTTGCATGACCGAATCTTTAAAGCAAAGCCAAGTAATTCTATCATTTGACTATAATGTAAAAGGAAAAAAAAAAAAAAAAAAACCCTTTATTTCAAGTAGCTTAATTTTTCATTTTCTGTTAAAGTAATTGTGACTGAAATCCTTCAACGTTAGGACAAGGTTTTGCATTTCGGAGAAAATTGAAGATCCAGCAAAGTTACAAGAAACTGCTGTGGAAGGTAAAGAAGGCACCAGTATCCCAGGAATCCCAGTTCACAGATCACTACCCAGACCATCTGAAACACCTCTATCTAGCTGAAGAAGAGAGACTCAGGAAACAGCAAAGAAGGGTTGGCCAGCCTTTGTCAGAAGAACAAGCTGACCAGACTTTGTCTGAAGAAGGGGACAACACTGAACATACTCTGTCAGAAGAACAGTCTAGTGTTTACCAGCCTCAGCCAGAACAGCTGAGTACAGTAAAGTATGCACTTTCTTCTTTTGAAACTCTTCTCTTTAAATGTAAATAATATTTTATAAAAGATATAGAGCAACCTGTGTAAGAATTAGATTTTTTTTAATACATTTTTTTAAGTTATGTAATAATATTTTCATGGAATTTTCCTTCTTAGTGTTTGTAAAAATATAGTATAGTTTGGAGGCCCTTTTCTAGTTACTCACTTTAGCTCCCAAATAAGTGAGACAAGACCTCTTAGGTTTATTCAACAAGCTTTAAGAACTGGGTACTAGAACAGGGCAGATACTCATCTAATCTAACCCTCCATGCTAGTCTGTCTACTTCCCAGCCACATGCTCGGAATTACTTGCCACATTGGTCCTGCCTGGGCTGGATCTGCTTCAACAGGTCCGTCCTCGTGGCCAGCTCTTCATGGCTACATCTTTTCTCTCCCTCTTCTTCCTTCTTTTTCTCTCTTCTGCCTTCTCTCTCTGTCTCATGGTTCCTATACAAGACTCCCACACTGGATCAGAAGTCTAGCCTTTTTATCTTCTCTGCCAAGTCATTAACTCTCAGCTTCTTTACTAACCAATCAGAGAAAACTGGGGAGCAATGTTTATACCACATTGACACAGGAAATTCTTCGTAGAAATGGCAATGCCCATGTTAGGACTGTAACCAGATCCTGGGGCACAGATTAATCCCCAACAAGTGTTGAGTGACTGGAATAGGCTAGTTAAGTATAGATGATAAAAATATGAAAGGAGAATTAGGAGATCTGAGTTTTGAATTGCATCCTGGCAAGAGCAAGTAACTTAATTGGACCACCATAATTAAGCCCTTATTAATATGTATGTCTGCGTGTGTATCTGTGTGTGATTCTTAAATTTTTTAGGCTGTGCTTGATCTATATTTGTAAGCTCAACATTTGAGAAGCAGAGCCCTGACAACTACAAGTTGCAGGTCAGCAGGGGCAACATAACCACATACTAGAAAAATAATGCAAGTGTGTAGTCATTGGCTTTTTGGGTTATAGAGCCAGACCTTACATGTTGGTTACCAGTGTCCTCTGTGATGGGAAGGATAGTATAAAAGTATTTGAGAGCCACTTTGTGCACCATGTTGTACAGCCTCCAACTGGTTCATCTTCTCAAGTAAATGATGTTCCTCAAGTATTATTACATTTCATGACATTTTGTCATGTTAAATTATATCAGGCATTTTAAAAACGTGTTTGATGTTTGGTTAATTTATAAATGCTAACTGTTAAATGCATTTTAATTTGCATTTTCTGCAAATAGTACAGGAAATAAGTTGTAATTAACAAAAAACAAGTGAGGCATAGTTCTATATGCCTGTAGTCTCTCAGAAGGCTGAAGCTGGAAGACTGCTGTTAATTTACAGCTAGCTTTATGCTACATAGTCAGATTCCATCTTGTGAAACAATGAAATATTTAAATATGCTGAACATGTAGGCTTTTTCCTGGATGAATGGTAGCTCATCCCTGTTAGTCCCTGTACTGAGGAGGCTTAGTACAGGAAGATTTCACAGTTTGAGGCTAAGCTGGACTAGATGGTCTGTTTCAAGCCATCTTATACTACTTCACAAGATCCTGTCTTTGGTTTTATAGGAGCCAATTTATAAAACTTGTCTACACACAATTCAAGCAAAATTACGCTAACATGTAAACAGCAAGGCATCACTTTGTATCTTAACTTTTTTTTTTCCCAGTAAAATTTCGTCTTTTAAAGCTGGGGCAGTGATTGCATGCATAAGACATATGCAAGATCAAGCCAGACAAAATCCTAGCATGGACTGGAGAGGGAGTCACAAAGTCCCATACTTAACTTAAGAGGTGTTGGCAATTGATGGCTGGGAGAGTGGGGGAAGTTAGTCTTCTTCAGAGATACTGGCCTGAGAGCCTACTCATACTCCAGTAGATGGCCCCACACCTACGCAGGTACACATACTAACAGCAGTAAGTGGACTCAGTGAGTTAAGTAAAAATACAGAAGAAGCACATGAAGTTAGTAGGGAAAAGTGGTATAGAGGACTAAAGGATGGGGAAGGAGTTGGAGAGGAAGAATTGGCGGATACATTTGATGAAAAATATGTAAATATAATTCAATTTTTTATAATAAAATTGAGCATTGTGTTGCAAATAAGAACAAAGTATATAGTTGGGCATAAAGGCAGATATGGAGCGTTGTCATGTTTTATTTTCAGGAGACTCTTTTGTCATGAAATAGTAAATGAGACAGGTAGATCCTTGGAGTTCATTGGTCAGGCCCCTGGTTTGTTGAAAGACCTTGTCTCAAATAAAGTGGTGAGCAATCCACTAGTCTTCACACATATGCACAAATGCCCAAATTTACAGGAGCACTCACATGCACAAAAAGAAGTAGAAGTGAAGAATGACACTGTAACACTAACTGAAATTTTCAGAAGTAGATAGTAGAAGAAAGCAAAAATCTTATTAGATATTTTGGGCTAGGAAATCAGTAGTGTCTTGGAAGGACAGTTTGGAATGGTAGAGCAGGAATCATGTCAGAGAATGAAGGAGTGAATGGGAAATGATGGCTGTACTTTATTCTTTTTGTAGAAATTTGATAATGAAAAGTTAAGAAACAAGATTGGCTGACCAGTATGTAGACTTTGGTATTGGAAGACAGGCATTTATTTTTAACTAGGGAACTGCTGAAATACAGTACAGTTATGACATGAGAAGGTAAGACAAAGAAAAGGGAGTGTATTATTAAGTCAGATAGTAAGTAAGCTCTTACCTTTGAATTGCTCAGAGTGCTTCAAGATAGAAGATATAAAGACCATATTTGAGGATTGGTGATTAATTAGTGGTAAAGAGGATGAAACAGAGACAAGATGATGAAAGAAGTGAGATTAAAGTTTATTTATACCACAACTTTTGTTATGTACTTTACTTCATTTCCATCTATTTGTAATATTTTAGTATCTGTCCTTACTGTGCTTTCTCTGGTTAATCTAATCAGAACTATAACTATAGTTTTAATGTCTTATTTGGGTATTTTCTTTTTGTTGCTTTTTCTCTTCATGTTTCAGTTTGTATTAGTGTATTTTTGTATATAAACAGTATATTTGATACAGTTACATAATTCTGGCAAAATCATTTTTGAATGATTTAACTTACCTGTCTTTATCTTGCAAGTTCTGTGACTAGTCCAAAGAAAAAGAAAAAGAAAACTTCAAACCAAAAGGCACAAGAAGAGTATCAACAAGTACAAGCAAAGCGTGCTGCTAAGAAATTTGTAAGTTCTACTTTTTAATTTTAGGTTTATTTCTCTTCATCTTTCACTTGTATGCAAGCTTCTTAGTATTAGCAAATAGTGTTGTCTGCTTCAATGCTTATTTTATGCATTACTCAGTAGACTTATACAATATTCAGTTCTTGATTTGCTCAAACAGTATTAGTAGGCTGGTGATAAGATTCCAAAAAAGACCAAAACAACAACAACAAAACATCACTGATTGGTTAATAGTAGGAATATCTGTGATAATGTTTCTCAGACTATGACGTAAGAACTAGGATCTTTAACAAATTCCTTGAAATAATCCTCTGTGCTGTAAGTTTCAGGACTTGAGACCTAGGAAATATTGATGATTTTATAATTTTACACTGCAGTAAAAGTCAAAGGGGATGTATTGGAATAGAATAGAAACGAAGCTGTTTTCTCTGTTTATCTCCCCAAGAATTTACTTTTGCCCTTTACTTAATCTGTGACCTTAAAAACCACAACTATGCACAGTAGTAATGATCAGTTATAAGGATTGGAACTTACATTTTTGTTGGTTTGTTTTGTACTAAAGCTTAATTAATCTCTCAGGGTTTCATCATAACATCCGAAAGACAGTACTGGTAAAATTGTGTTTATACTCATTAGAATATGAGTAGTTAAGGAAATTTGGAGTTTAATATCTAAAGTGCTTACGATTATTCTTCAACTGATGACAGGCAGAGATGATCTCTAATGTTAATACAAAAGCCAGTGGCATTTTACCCCTGAGATCAAATTTTACTTAAATATAGATCCCTAATTGAGGGTAAGGATGATAAATGAGACTAATATACCATAGGGATAAACCAGGCAACCAGGCTGTGTATCAAAACTCATGAATAATTTTAAGATGTTTCTTGAGGCAAGAGTCTCATTATATGGCTCTGGCTGGCCTGGAGCTCAGATCCACCTGCTTTTGTCTCCTCCATGCTGGGGTTAAAGACATGCACTACCATACCCAGCTTCTGATCTTTGAGCACTTATTAAAGTAAATACTGCACCACATAGTTAAATCATTTTAAGTAATGTGATGAAACGTGATAACTGCTGGAGAATCTGTTTATAAAACCAAGCTCTGCCACATAGTGATCCCAGTAAATCATGAGTCCTTGTATGTAAGACCAACAAAGTAAACTATGTAAATATTTTACAAGAGTGGAATGTATTGCAGTTTCACAAATTAAAACTAAAATTCTTCGCTTATTATAATTACTTGTAGTTATAAGAAAGTATAAGTCTAATGTTTGTCTGGCATATAATCTTGAGGCCCCCTGGGCCCAAGATGAAGAACACACTTACTACAGTACAATTTCTTTTCAGCTGTCCTGTTAAAGTTAGTAAGAATGTTGGTGTGATTGTTGAATAGTGGATCTTCAGAACTACTTATCATTTTAAATTATAGTCCTCTATGCTTAGATTCGAGTCTTTATCATAGCAAGTGAGATGAGCATCATAGTTCTTAAATGGCAAAACTCATGCCTTGCAGAATGTTTTGCACTCATAGTAAGTAGGTTGTCAGCATTTTTTAAGTTAAATCTATAAATTAGTTAAATGATACTTTAAAAAAGTACAAGATACAGTTTTCTAAAAATGAACTTTTCAGGTTACTGGGATATTAGACTAGTTAACTTCTATGAAGATCCCTCTACTTCTTTAGTGGATTTAAACAGTGAAATTGCTAAATAAATATGTGACTTTTTATGTACGTACAAATGCATAAAATGCTTCCATGACTATATTATTCTCTGGTGTCTCGTATCATTATGAAAGCAAAGAGGACTTATTACTTCAGGGCTTCACATGTTAATCAATATAAAAGACAAATATTAAGGTTTGCAGAGTGATAGCAATTTCAGAGCAGCTTCTGGCCTGTATTTCCTGTTTGTGACTAATGAACATCATGTGTGTTTATGACTGCAGGAATTTGAAATGCGAAAGCAAGAGAGAGAAGAAGCTCAAAGGCGCTACAAAAAGAAGAAAATGGAAGCTTTCAAAATACTGAGCAAAAAGACTAAAAAGGGCCAGCCTAACCTGAATTTACAGATGGAGTATCTTCTTCAGAAAATACAAGAAAACAGTTAAAGTAGACATTTTGTCTTTAAGGATTAAACTCCAACTGACTGTTGTGTCCTTTTGTCTGTGTATCAGAAGCCTTCTACTAGTGAGCTAAACTTGTTGGCATCAAATGAATTGGTGAATTTTTTTTTTTATAAAAGTTTCTGTATATATTTTCTATAAAGACTCTCTTTATCATGAAGCTATTTAAAAATCTTCAGTGGAATTTGTATGGAATAAACTGTTTTGAAATAGGAGATCTGAGCTTACAGTGAATCATTTCAATGATGAGAACATATTTTTGTACAGTAATCAACCATAGTATTTAAGGGGTTAATTACTGGGTTGAATGTGCATCCTTGTATTTGTTTGGCAGTTGCACTACCAATAAACTACATTGTAGTCCCTGGGAGCTTTGAGAAGGGTTTCTGTGCAGCTTATATATCTCAGGCTGGTCTCAAACTTGTGATTCTCTTGCCTCTGCCTGGGGGTCTAGGATTTTAGACCTGCACCACCATGCCTGATAGATTAATTTTAATGATAAGAAAAGGAATCTCCTTGGAGTTTTTATTTATTAATTTTTAGGACATGGTACAGGAAAGTGGGTATTCTAGGCTACCTAAAAGTACATTAAAAGAGTTTGCACCTCCATAATAAGATAGACTTAATAAAGCAATTTGACGTCTGAATTGAGTTTCATAGAAGCATGCTCTTACATGGAAGCAGTTTTTGTATCATTTAAATGATGGTGAAAGCCCAGCCTTTCTCAGTAACAATTAAGCTCTCTATTATCTTTGGAGTGAACTTCATCACTGTGTAGTATTGTTGGTACTTTTGTGAGCTTTCTGCCTTCAGTTCCAACAGCCTTGACATTGTAAGCAAAAAGACTGAACAATAATGCTCATAAAACTGCATGCTACAGCCTTCATCCTGTGTTTAATGCAATAACAGATACTGAGGAAATACTAAACTCTTTGCATATAAAAATAATGCTTAGAAATTTGCAATATATCATTGCACTTGAACAACCCAGAAAGTCAAAATCTGATTAAGGAAGCATGCAATGATTCAATGATTTCTTTGAATTCCTTTCCTCACATCTGTATTCTAGTCTTCATCCTAAAACATGGAGGTCTGATCTATTTTAAAAATAAGTTATGAGTGAAAAACAAGATCAAGTGCTTTTTACAACATTGTTGAGAGGTCTGTGTTGAGGGCTTTTGTTTTGTTTTAGTTTTGTTTCATTTTGTTTGAATCCAGAGATGTTTTAGGGCAGAAAGTAATCAACATTAGGTTCAAGACATTAGATTCAGATTTGAGTGTGATAGAAGAACCACACTTTATTTGAAAGCTCTACCTTGAGGTCTGAATAGTAGAGATTAGCTCAGTAATGGCAGTTTATCCTTATGACACACTTACCAAAGGCGCAGCCAAAGCATCAGGGGGAGATTTAATGTAAAGAAAGTAAGGAGGCTTGGTATGCAGGCTGAGACAGAATTTAATGTCAGAGGGATTCATTGTCAGCCTAGGCCTTGTAGAGAGAGAAAAATAATATGGGTGAAGTGGTTAAGAAAAGTCTTTAAGGTTGAAAAAGCTAGAGGCAAATCAGAAGGAAAATTACAAAGAGGAAAAATGATTAAGATGTAGTACAGTATATAAAAATAGTTACTGGCAGTGGGATTGTTTCTTCTCCCTTGCTGATGTTTCCTCCCATACAAAGAAAATGTCATTATCCTCTTACTGGCTGACTTGTTCTGCCTTGGGGCAGTATTGTACTATTTAAGTTTTGAGATCATACCGGTTAGCTTAGAGTACATATAGTCTCCCATCCCAACCCATCCTTCTTGTATATATGTTTATATGTACATGGCATATGTTTGGAGGCCAACGTCATTCAAAACCTTATTTTTTGAGATAAGGGTTTCTCTAACCTAAGGTTTTCCTGGCTTTTCCTCCACACAGCATTGAGGTTACAGGAAGAACATTCTGGCCTTTAATGGTGCTGGGGAACCTCAACTCAGGTCCAGCTGCTTGGCCAGCACAGCAGTTATTTTACTGACTGAACCACCTTCTCTGGAGATGGGTTTTCATGCTATTTTGCCCAAGCCAGTCTCAATCCCTGAACTCTTGATCTTCCATATCCCAAGGAACTAATAGTATCTCAGGCACATGTCAACATAGCAAACTAGAATACCATACTCATGATTGCCATTCTCATAAATTATAAAATCAAATTCTCTTGAGAAGGGATAAGAGAGGGATAGACACAGACCAATAATGAATAATATAATAATTGTGAATAATGTAATATCTGAGAATTTGTTCTGCCGGGTGAGATTACTGCTTAGTAACGGATGCTTGCCTAGCATGTCAAAGTGCTGTGCTACATACAGCACTGGTCTACAAACCAAAATGGTTAAAAAGGTATGCCACCCTATTTACCAAGACAGAAATACTTTTAATGATAACCATAAACACACAAAGAAGCTTTAAGTGACCAGAGACTCGATTTCAGGCTTTAAACTTAACATACACAGAGAAAGTTTTGATCTTGACAAGTTTATATTGGGCCATAGTTTTAATTATGTAAAACTGCAAAAGTGCACTAGGCTTTTAATTGCTTCATTTTGTGCACTTAAAAAAAAAGAAGAAGAAACAAAAGAACAACAACAAAAAACGGGTTTCTACATAGCCTTGGCTGTCCTGGAATTCACTATGTAAACCGGGCTGGCCTTAAACTCAGATCTACCTGCTTCTGTCTTCCAGGTGCTGGCATTAAAGGTGTGTACTATTATTTCCAGCTTTGTGCTTTAATCCTTAAAGTATGAAGATGAGAGTTTGACCTGAATTCAGAGCAGCTTTGTCTACCAGAAGTTATTCTACAGAGGTGGAGTTACTGGGTTTTGAAAACAGGGATGGGGGCCTCAGGACGGAAGTGAGATATGACAAAGGTGCTGGACACAGCCTTCCACTAAAGTACAGAATGTCTTCCCTTGCTCTTGCCAAACTTAAAAGGCAAATTATTCTATATGGAATAATACTTGAGAGTGTGGCTCATCTAAAGCTCATGTCCTAGATAGCCACAGCAGATGGTAGCCAGGTGAGGCTTAGCAAGCTCTCTTAAGTGTTAATATCAAGCAAGGTGCTGGCAGAAGTAGTCAGCCTCAGATACAGACTGTTGTAGCTTGACCTTGACTTACATTAAATAGGCATGTATGAGCATCAGGGGCTCATCAGAGGCTTCCAAAACTAGACAACAATCTTAAAACAAAGATTTAATGACAGAAAAGATGATAATTGGGGCTGCTAGACATTGATTAATCAGCGTTTGCTGCTTTTATAACTTCAAGACATGCTTGGATACGGTACAGAGCTTCAGAAAAGTTCAAGGTCTAGCCTGTTCATACCAGTCAGAACTGCAGTATATGTATCAAGAGTTTGACCACTGTAAATAGGAAAGATCAAAACCAGATAAAGGAACCTAGTCATTAGTACTGCACCATTGCAAATGCTGTGCTTTTCAAGGTTATATGAGCTGAGAGGAGAGAATCAGTCTGTCATGCTGACTGCATGACAATAAATGTAACTCCTGGCTCACAGATGCCTTCCAGTTTAGTTTAAGTGTACAGCTGATGGGAATACCTTGCTGGTAAGAGCCTAAAGCTATCATCAGCTATATTGCCACTTTTTTGTAGAGGCTCTCACACATGTATCTGGCAACAAGAACTACTCTGTTATAGGAGTTAAATTATGACTTTTAAATGTGAAATGTGATTCTCCTGGGTGTTTTATTTTTCAGCCCTTTTGAAAATCAAACAGAGGCTCTAGACTTAGTGTTGATTAATTTAACTTTTGAGGAGCTCAGTGACTCATGTTCATTCTTAAAATAGACAACCAGGCTACACCTGCTGAAAGCTCTGCCCAAGGATTAGGCACACTTTTGGCTGGGTATAATGTGAAACTGGGGAGAACTTCAAATGTTATTAATTTTTAAACTTTTAACAGTATTAAGTATGAAACTGTGAATCTAGGGTTAGTGTTTTTGTTTTGTCTTTGAATTTTAACCTACAACCTACATAATGGTTTCCTAAGAAGACTGCACTTTATTCCATGAGCATGATTAGGGAAAAAAATATACTGAAATGGAAAGTATATTTTTCTTTTTGTCTGGGATTTCTGCACTGTTTGAGTAACTTCTGTTAAGAAAGCCATTAAATCATTCACAGGGCTGCCAATTTCACTGAAGCATGTTATTAAATATGTAAATATATTTGACATATATGTACATAGATCCTCTCCATGATCTCCTAGCAATTAGCATCACCTGCAAAATGTTCTTCCTAGCTCTTTGTAAGTTGATCCTCTCACTGGCCCCCATGCTGATCCAATGCAGCACTGATCAGCCTTTGTTACAATCTAATCTGCATTTTTCAAAATCATAATATAATTATTATTATTTTAATAATTATAATTAGGGTTCCATACCATGCTGTATTTTTCAGTTTTTCTAGTCAGCACAAATACTTGACAGCTCATATGTGTTAGTGCAGTATTTGTAAATTGTTTGTTTCCCCTGAAACAGGAATATTTTATTAGATAGATATAATTCATCTCTTCATCTATTGATTATCTTGTGAGATACTCTCAGTGTTTGGACATAAAAACTAACCTTTTTGAACATTTGTGTCTAAGTCTTGTATGGGTCAGTGTTTTAATTTTCTTTTGGTAAATTTGAAGGCAGCAAATGGTTGAGTCACATGAAAGAGGGATTTTTAGTGTTGTAGGAACTGCAACATCTGGGAAATGATTAGACACTATAACAATATCTTCTTGCTTAGATGGCAAAAGTCAAATTAGAAGAAAAATAATGCCCTTCCAAGAAGTTCAGTAACTATATCCTGGTATTGTACCTGTTCTCGGAAGTTCTCACTCTTAGTTGGATGTACTTGATACATATTTTACCTTAGGTATTGTCACTTTCTTCCCACATGCCAAGATAACAACTGTGGTGTGTTTCTTAAATAAATATTGATAATTTACAAACCTGACCACTCCTGTATATTTACCAGTTACAATTATGTATCACCTTCAGCAAACTTACTAAGTTACTTATAATGGCATTATCAAATTAAGTTAATCTTCAGATGTTAGCACATTAGTTACAATGAGCTCCAGTGTTTCTCTTGCATGGACTGGCCTCTCTTGATATACTGTTACATCAAGCTTTCTTTTTATCACAGGCCCTCAAAAGTCTACTGATATGTCTAGAATATTTGTATTTGATTAAATGAGCCTAGTAAAACCACACTGACACCATCCCATCATTTACTCAAACCTCAATAAAACACAGTAGTAAATATTTGAATAATGATGGGCATATCTCAGACCTTGCAATACTCTTAAATGTTCAGGTAAGGGTAGCCGGTCAGAG